ATAGATTAAAAAGTAGAGATTTCCAAAGAGAGCTAACAAAACAGTTGGTTCTTATTAACTGTTTACTGAAATAAACACTTTTAGCACAGACCAATATAATGTAACATCAAAACATAGGATTTTGTGTTCACAGTGTTTATTAAAGCTTCAGACTCTGTTTCAGGTGATACTAGTAAATCATAGGTTGCAAGATTAAGGTTGTCTGCTGAATGCTTACATTCTTCAGTCCTTAGAATGCATCTGTGAGTGTGTGTACACTCTCATTTCAAAAAAGGATCTTTATAATCGTAATAAGTGGATTTCTGAGCATGTGAATTAACAGTTCCCTGGTTCCCCATTGTAGCCAATCCTTGATTAGAGGCTTTGCTTTTGGAACAAGTGCAGACTTCCCTGCTTTGTGTTAATTTTCCAGGTTTAATTTTTAAAAAATTGTTAAAAACTGCTTGTCTATAAAATAACCAAGCCTATGCAAATTTGAGACCAGGCTGAGCAATTTAGCAACTTAGCAAAACCTTGTCAAAACCAAAACTAAAACCAAACCAAAACAAAAAACCCCACCTAGTACCAAACAACCTATCCTCTAAAAGATAGGCCAATGTATAGACCTTGCCAGTTTTAGAAATTTAGAATAGTCTTATTCTTCTTTAAATTGTAAAATCTTTTGTAAAACTTTGCAACTTAAATTATTAGAAACTACTTAAAATGACTTTTAGGTTTAGGCAAAAATTTAGCAATTTTGAAATTCTTATTTTCATTTCCCTTCCTCTACTCCTAGTTTAGAGTAGATAAGGCTGGAAACAGGACATCGACTAGACAGTAGACAGTGGCCTACATCCTGTCCTGCTGCTGTGGCTATGTTGTGCAGATGCTGCCCCTCTGCACTTCAGCCTTGTGTAGCTAACATAGGATGGTAGGATGGTAGGGTCTCATTTCTCAAGTGTCCTTGATTCTCACAAGATTGATATTTCTTTATTTTCTGCCAAATTACCCCGAGACTTTTTTTTTTGAGACAGAGTGTTGTTTGCTGTCTTAAACTCTAGATAATATAGCTTCTTCTGTCTCAGTCTTCTGAATGCTGGGGTTATGGGGTATGTGTTAGATCCCTAGAATCCCTAAATATTCCTAAAAGTAACCCTAGCCAATTTTAACACCTGAGCTCTAAAGTTATTGTTATGATGTACTGACCCACTCACAACCAAAACCAGCACATAATAAGCATAGGTTTAGATTTTTTTCTTTGATCTGATTACAATGAAATGTTTATCTTGTCATAGTGACTAGCTCGTACCAACTAAATGCAAATTATGATAAATCTTAAAGGAAAACTACATTTTGGGGTGTGCTCAGTTGCTACATACAAGTCTGCACTGAAGATTTAGGGCACTAGATGGCAATAGAAGTGCATCACATAAACATTTGCCTGCATGGTCCAGCATTGAAATCCTGGAGAGTGAGGCCAAAACAGGTTAATGCATTAGTTAAAGAAATAAAGTCAAATATAATCAGGTGTTAGAGTGTTAGCTAATATTCTGAATGTGCTCACTAACGCAGTGCTTATTGAAAGAAAAGATTGCTAAAACAGAAACTAATTTCTCTTACTTTTGAGAATATCTTCGAGGTAATTCTTGGTGCAAGAATTGGCACTAGTCACATGTATCCTATCAGACATGTCTTATTCTTATGTTCCTCTCCAGTTTAGGTTTTTACATTTTAAAAATAGCAACTGTTTGGGATAGAGTGCACCTCTCATGCATTATTCATTAGTAAAGTAGTATATTCTTATAAGGAAGATGAGCCATAAGACGCTGGGGTTCTAAAGGGGAAAGGGCTGACTTACTGTAAGCTCTTGGCTGGGCCATTATTGACTGGCAGGCTCCACTGGAAGCACTTTGAGAGTGGATTAGGTTGCCCTGGAAATGCCTTCCTGAAACTCTAATGATGCACTTAAGGGACCCCTGTGGGACAGGAGTAGAATGTCTCTTAGCAGGCGTGTCTTCCGCTGGGGTCCTCTGGGATGGCTTGGGAGCAGGCAGGGGCATGTCTAAAGAGAGGCTCAGGAAGGAAACGGCCCCAGAAAAGTCTGCAGGTGGTACTCTCACAGGTAAGCCAAGGTAAAGACGCAGGGCTAGAAACCGTGAGCCTTCTGCCGGTGCACGTTTCATTATTCATACGGAGCAGCATTGATTCCTGTGCACACTCGCGTGTGCGTGTGCATGTGTCTGTCTGTGATTATTTATTGGGAGTGGTAGTGGCAGGAAGAGGGAAGAAAAGGGCGTTTGCGTGAATATAATTTTAATCAAAGGATTTGAAAAAAGAACACTTTGTAGATTGAACATTGAGTCATTCAGTGGGATTTTTTAAAACAATCTTTAGAGGGAAATGCGCCCTTCAGCAGGGAAATTCAGTGCATCGGTTTCTTTCAAGTTTTTT